ATTTGAAGGCATTGGTCGTTGAATTCATTTCTCTGGAAAAGAAATACTCATACAGGTATTTTTGGTAGAAGAGAATCCACTAAAGATAGTCAAATGAAAATGTAGTTAGGGGCAACTCCATTGTGCTCTCCAATACTAAAGGTAAGAACAACAACGCTCACAATTCATAAACAACTCATTTGAAAACTATACTTCTGGTAAATACCGGGGTAATGTGGAAGAAGTCCTAACGTAACTTACACCCACCATGGTAAATGAAAACGGTCTCAACCAAGGATATGGATATCTTACCCAGGACTAAGCTGGAGGAGCTCCAGGCAGGATGACCAGATGGAATCAATTGCGTGGGATGTGACAAGGTAGAATATAGAACAGTAACCGCTCCTTATCAAAAGTACGCTACAAATGCACCATTTACGTATTATCTTACCCTTGTGCTTGAAGTCCGGAGAAATGCACTTTAACACTACGGATAAGGTAACAAGGAGTGCCCCTCCCAAATCTCATTTTCACCGGAGAGTCACAAAGTGATTTTGAGCAGAGCTTCAGGAAGAATTCATGAGCAGTGGAGTGGGGAATGTTGGAGCTGGAATGGAGGGCTCAGAAAATGGCTGACTGACGAATTCAACTTGTTGCGAAGTTGTTTTCACTATAGTTGTATCCGAGAGCGGAAGTGGTGTAGTACAAGTGGCGCGCTTACCACGCGAGCGGTCCGGGGATCAAATCCTGGGTCGTGAGTCGCCCGGGCCAACCAAGCCTTCCATCCCTCCGGGGTCGGTTAATTGGTACCAGACTTGTCTGGGAGGATAAAAACTGACTTGTACATCGGCTGGCCCCCGCAAGTCATTGTATAGGCCACATCGCATTCAAACGCCACTACGAATGTACAAATGGAAGTAGAATGCGTGCCGCATCCCAAAAAGGGATTGATCAACGGCAAATGCTTTATCCAATTATTATTGTAGTGTATCTACGAAGTAATCCTTTGTTTCAGGCCCCAGAGAACACTCGATTCTATGCAAACGCTGATGCGTTCTACATTCGCTGCTATCAAAATAAAACTATGATTTTTGAGAAGGCTTTTGCTGGCATGAGAGACTTTTCAAGAGAAAGATTTTGAGAAGGCTTTTGCTGGCATGAGAGACTTTTCAAGAGAAAAGAACAAGGTTACGACCAACAGCGTTCCACATTCTCGAAAACCATTCAGTCTTCTCTCTTCTCAGGTTTACCCGTCCGATGAGACAGAATCGTTTGATCGTTATGGAAGACGACGAAGAAAAACGTCAATCATTGAAAAGCCAAAGCGCTATTCTGTTGACATCCTGGGCTTCGACTCAACTTCGCGAACAATGTTCATGAGGCATATGCCTCGAACATTAGATTTGATGGATAAACTTGGCTACGAGATTTTATATGGATACAATAAGGTGTGTTTCTTCATATTTCAAATATCAAGAGTGTCGACGAAGTTCATAAACATGCATGGAATTAATGCTGAAAGTGAGTGGCGAACTTAAGAACTGTAAAGAGGGAGCAGCTTCTGTGCCACGCGGTATGCAATGCTCCTTTATTGACCAGCGAAATCGAACACCTCAAACTTGGGTAATTAAACGAATGACAAAAGAAAATAATCTACCATTACGTTACGAAATATAAAATAATGTGTAATACAAAAAAGAAACGGTAAATGATTGAATCTGCAATGGTTAATGGGCATATTTCAGATTCAAGTGCTAGAAGAAGCATGAGAATAAGATACTAAGAGAAAATATGGAAAATGAGTTATGAACTAAAGGGCTGTGTTGCGCCATGCACAGGAGAAGTGGGTAAAAACACATAAATGATATTAAGTGTGTCAACCTAGAATACTGATTGCCCATCGCAAATCCGATATGTCGTGCTCAGAGAAAACATGAATAAGAAGTCATGAACTAGGAACTTGGAGTAAGCCATGCACCGGAAAGAAGTTAAATAATGCATGAATAAGAAAGCATGAAGTAAGAGCTTGGAATAAGCCATGAACTAGAAAGAAAGTAAATGCTGCATGAAACTATGAAATTAGAATAAGCCATGAACTCGAAAGAAGGAAAATAATGCAGAAGAAGGGAAGAAAATGCATAAGGAGCACATCATGCACTGCACCCATGCACCACTGCTGACTCTCCTCTGCGCCTCGCACTCTCCTATTTATGAGTCGCATCCATCAGGGCCTGTCGTGCTTCGAATCACGACGTTTGTGATTCGAAGCACAACAGGCCTGTTGATGGGTGTGAAATCCCTGAATGCTAGAGGAGAATCCCGGGCGATAAGCCGGTTAGACAGAGTGAGCGCCGAATTGATCGTAAAAGTTACGATGTTCCTCCGCAGCACGATAAGCACGTCGCGATCGACGTTCGCCAATTTCTGCACAAATCATAGTTATGTTCGCAATGAGTGCTACCCCGCTGCCCAAGTGCAGCGAATTCAAAAATGTATGAAAGGTCGCAGGTTCGCTCGAAGGCTGAAAACGCTGCGCGCAGGCTGACGGAAGCCATTCCCGTCTGCCACGCCAAGACTTACGCGCGAGGCCACTCTCGCTATGGTGCATCCTCCATCCTTTCCTATCTATGAAAACGGCGCTCAGTATAGTCGGCGGGTTGACTCGACATATTTTCTCTCCTTTGAGAGAGCGCAGAGAAAACGAATAGTGGGAGGCGAGCACGCCCTTCAGCGCGTCAATGCGTCGCGCATTGTACGTAACTACAGCAGAACATTGATTAATGCACGGCTTGACGTCGGTGTGTCTGCTCTGTCCAAAAGGCTTAAGTCAGAACTCGTGTATATGTGCGAATCGTTACCTAAATAATTGCTTTTAGGATGCCATACGTGCCATTACTTAGGTTAATATAAATGCGCACGCTATATAAATTCCTACTCTCTACCCACAGCGCCCTGATAGTGACGACATAGAAATTACAAATTACCAGTAGTTACAAAAGCATGACTTTCGTGGTTTGCTATATGTTTCCCTCACCCAGGTGAGCCGCAAATGCGGACTTAACAACACACACAACATCAGGCAGTTGTAAGCAATAAAAGACATATGATATCGATTAATTTTCACAGCCGGTACACTAATGATTCGCTTAGTAGAGGTAGCACAAGTGATATCGACCTCGAAGAAAAATACATCCGATCGTTCCTTTACAACATATGGACACAGAAACAAAGTGTATGTTGACCGACTCTTTCGTGGCACAGGCCATGTAATGCATTCAAATTCCGCTCGTTGAATGTTGGTCTACGGGTGGTATCTAGCAATACAAGCCGGATTTAACAGTCCGGTGAGTGACCGCTACCGTAATCCACGTTGGCACAGTCACGTGTTGCGGTTGCGGTCACTCACCGGACTTTGTAATCCCACTAACTTTAGCAATGGTTCGTCTCATTCGCCTAACTTGAACAATTTTTCAAGGTTGGAGACAACTCAATGGTGAATCTGTTGCCGATACTCGCCGGTGATATTCAAGAAGCTCTGGATGAGCCGATGAATGACACGAGTGGTGACGTCAACACCCAGTGGATATTGCCAACTGAAAAGAAATTGAATCCATCACATATATTGTTTTTATGGAAAATAATGCGAGAAAGTTAGTTCAGACCCAAATCTGGAACAGGATTATTCTCATTCCTATATTATAGAATTTGGCTGCCGAACAATGTTCAATGATGATATTGCCGTTAAAGAACGTGGTCTGTTCCACTATCCCGACAAAGAATTTCTACGGGGCTTCACATCTCAACCGACTGACCATTACTACCGAGCTTACTACATTGCTGTTTTCAAGGTGAATTTCAGCTTTACTTTCTTCCACTCCATACCTTTTTCGACATAGCGTTCAGAGGCATTTCGCGCCTCATAGAAAATCGAGCTAGGCGTATCAGTGGTGCAGGGATGAAGATAAAACTATGGGGAACGCTCCAGAACTCAAAAAACGGGACTTCTTCCCCAGTTAATTTCCGCATATGCGACGCTCATCCTCTTCAACGCTCACGCTCTCTATACTAAACGTCAGGTGGAGATACTCAGTTAGAGAGTAATGTAAGTACGGTTGCGTAATTAGGGGATCATTGTAGCGCATGTGGTAGGTCTCCTCGAACTCGCATATGTGACCAATTAAATGCTTGCGCATACTGAGCTGAATACAATACTGAGCTTTTCTACAGCCACAACAAGCAAAATAAAGGTTTATTCGTTATCACAATATAGGTTACCAGTTTGGTCTCCCGGAAATCGTTGAAACCTCTTTTCCCTGCGTAAGCTTCGCGTTGCTCCTCATATCCTTGTCCTTGCACCTCCTGCTGCTCTCCAGTTGCAGCACCTTCTGGAATGACCGAAGTGGGCCAAGTAGGTGTTTAATGGGTTGGAACATAATATCGTAGCGCTCGCATTCGGCAAAAACGTTTAAAGCAAAACCCAAAAGCAAAGCCAAGCATAAAACTAATCAGTGATGTTCTTCTCGTCATTATTTACGACTTTGATTCCATTTCGCAAGAAATTACCGGATTCAGAATTTAAAAAAGGGTACTGAGCCCGTTTTCAGAGTCCTCATTATTCTCAATTGTACGACGTGAATATGATTTGAATTGAGGACCGGAGTAAGGTTCGATGATGACGATGGATTCCGAAAAACTCCTATTTTGGCAGCTTTTTTCTTCTATATAGATTTTCGCCCACCTTGATTTTCCAACTTCTAAGCACCATATCTGAGTACATGTTACAATATAAAAAAATGACAAACAAGGTAAAAACGCCACGATATTATGCTTCAACCCGATATATAGCCGTAGCTGTTATCACAGTCATGCCATTGCTAAACATTCATAGCGCAAGTCCTGCAAGTAACCCAGATTTGTTAGGCCGATGTCATACATAGTTTGCGAATCGAGCGATTTGCTAGCGGGTCCGAACGTTGCAACCAGCAATCATAGACTTTGCGCCAGCGAATCGACCGATGCACCAGCGAGTCGAACTAGGTACCAGCGACTCAATAGTGCCGGGACCCAACGTTCACAGGAAGCCCATCACTTCTAAATAGTGTCCACTGTCAAGTCACGCCACTTTCAGACAGCGTCCACTATCACGTGCCATTTGTTCGATCAGAGCTAACGGACAACTTGAACTCGGTCCTTTAAACCGCTTCGAATTGATGCCTTCGCCTGCGCTCTCTCGCCTGAACAGCGGCTTATGGTTACTGTGATCTGATGCATTCAAATTTTGCCACAGTATGATTGACACACCCACTCCAGAGCCCCTCCTCCCTCCAAGGCTTAGTCCTAAGGCTCACACCTTACTGCTCTAGATTTGGAGCCGAGCCAGGCGCCGTTCTCTGGTCGTCTGTGCTCTAGCCTTTCTCAGCAGAGAATACAGGGGCGAGTTCAAAGTAGTCACGTAATCGAAAAAAACTGGC